TTAACCAGAAATTGGGCTTCTCAGAAGGGAGCTGTGGATCCGGCCAGTTAATCCCAGCACTTCCTAACTGCTGGAGCTATCAACTGATGTGTCCTGCAGGGGAGCCTGGTGCAGTACGGTCCGTTTTCACCCACTCCTGCTTGTCCCCCACAGGGCATAGACTTCAGCAGAACGTAGTATCAACCCAAAAAAGCCTAACGTTGTCATCAATACTACCTGTTTCTGTGTCTTCTAAGGACAGTTGATAGATGAGATAAAAATGAAATTCTGGGGGAAGAAAAGACAGGACAAACACTGGAACAATCAGCTTAACACACAAGAGACAATAGGAAGACTTACAGGGTTTAAAGTCAAGCCAAAGAATAAGCTAGTATTCAGTTTCCTGGAATAGCTATATCTGAAAGCTGCCAAACTCTGAATTCCTAGCCTTTGAAAGAGACCTAAAGGCATCTTGGCAGAAGTGAGGTGCATTTTAAGGAGGGATTTGGTAGAGGGAGGGTTTCTACTGAGAATGTTCAAGACTTAAAACCTGGCACCCTCTGGGCAGCTTCCAGGGTTTAAATCTCCTACGAATCCCCAATGTCTCACAGAAAGCGGCAAGAGGCAGAAAAAACTTAAAGCCTGCAGAAGCCTGTGGCTTTCCTTTGCTGAAAGAACCAGTCATGATCACAATGCAGATATAACTGTGAGTATGTTCCGACCGTATCATTTAAAAATATAGAGGCAACAGATTCACTGATTTTTCCTCCTTCCCTGTTCCTCCCAAGGGGGAATAACTGCAAACAGATAGAGAGATGAATGAAATTTGGAGAACTGTTAGCATTTGTTCTCAGACTCACTCGCATATATTGTTTATTCATGGAACAAGAAAGCAGAACATAAGCCTATTCCAATAATTTTAAAACATAAATGTAAAAAACAAATTAACATGCATTGAATATTTTCCAAAGTCTGTTCTTCTGCGCTAAAGGATGTTGTCAATAATCAGAGATAGTTCTTTCCCCAGTCATAGCACAAACTCATCTTTGAAGGTGCTTTATCCGTCCCCAGGTCAGCCACCTAAGAAATGGGTATATTGAGCCACCTGTAGTAGCGCTTCTTGCACAACTCTAAGGAAGCAAATACAGATAAACAGCAATATGAGATCTTCTCAAATACTTGAAGTCCATCTAAAGGCACATCTTGTAAACTGACCACCTGAACAGAGATCTGTGAAGGGCAATGACAGGACGAAAGTTATTTGGCAGGAGTTTACTCCTAACTTTGAAATAACCCATTCAAGTTCACCTATTCCAAAGCTAGCTGTTTTCTATACGCTCCTCCTGACGAGGCTTTTAGAAAGCACATCATCTGCAAGTCTGAAGTCCTGCATCATCACAGGTCTAAAGATATCAAAGCAGCAACGTGGATCTGCCCTGATCTGCCCTGTGGATCTTGTCTGAGCACAATTAGTGCTGCAGACCTTTGAGGTGCTGGAGCAGAAAAGCAGAGTCTTGTGCAATGCTGGAAAGGCTGGGACCAGGCAGTATTACACAGTGGTGCATGGCTCCTGCTCGGCTGTGACTTGAGCTGGTAGCATGGCAGATGGTTGAACAGATTTGTTTGTTCCCTGTATGTGTGTTGTCTGCTGTGCTCTGGTAAAGGCTGTGTCTGGGCAGCAGGCAGGAGGCCGTCTGTGAGCCTTGTGCTGGCTTTGGGATTCTCCAAAAGACAGGGGAGAACACCACCTTCCCAAAGGCGCTCAGTGCCTCAGGAAACAGCTTCTGGAGCCAGGAAAGGAGGAAGAAAGAGGTCTCTGCAAGGTGAGGAACAAACCTGTAGAGTGGAGAGGGGGGACTCTGCCATGGTGATTTCACAGCCATTTCAATTAGAACCATGGAGCAATCTTATCTGGAAGGCACCTCTGGAGATCATCCAATCCCACCACCTGCTCAAAGTAGCATCAGCTACTTAGAAACTGGGTCAGGTTACTCAGGGCCTTGTCCAGACAGGTTTTTAATGTTTCTCTCCTTGGAGACATTGACCTCTCTGTGAACATGATTTTCTTTATATCTAATGTGGATTTCCCTTGCTACTGCTTGTGTCTTTTGCCTCAGATGATGTTGCTATTCATCTCTGGCTCTATCATCTTTCTCACCTGGCTCACTAACTAGCTGAAGACAGCCATTATATCACCCCCTTGGCCTTCTCTTCTCCAAGCTGAACAACACCATCCTCAGAAAGCAAGTGGAGAGACTCCCTGCACTAACACAGTGCTGTATGCATGTGCCCCTCAGTCAGGACTGGAATTAAAGTCTCAGTAAGAGAATTTTCCCTAGAGCCGTAGGGTATATATCGCATTGGGCTGGCAGGAGCCAAGGCTAATGTCCAGCATGAAATCTAGAAAGTAGCAACTCTAAATTGAAAATCTCCCATATTTTGTATAGAAGAACTGGAATACAGATCCAGTTGTATTGCAGCTGTCTCGGCATTGCTGGTGGCTTCTTCCAGGAGGTCACTTCCAACTGCTTATGTGACCAAGAGTGCATTTCCCCTCAAAGCTCATGGGGGAGAGAAAGTGCTGCAAATCAAACAAAGCCTGGCACTGGCAAGAACAATAAAGCCTTTGCCAGCTCCACAGGGACATTTCATTTCAGCAGTTTCACATGAGGGACTCTGGTGGGCTCTCCATACTCCAAAGGGCATTATCACAGAAATCACCCATCAGGTTTGAAAACAACTTTCAGAATAATCAGAGAAACACTTTCAGCCTTTCTAAATATTTAACTGCAAGGGAAGCAAACATCATGTTTTTCTAATGTAAATAATTAATTTGGGAGAGGGGACTATCACCACAGTGTTTCCAGGGGAATTCTCGCTGGATGACTCGTTAACATTGTCGATTTGGTGAAGATGAAATATTATTGTTATTATTATTACTAAGATACTACAGTAATAATAATTTTAAATATGAGGTTCAAACTAATAAATTTCATAACCTATGGCATTAATAGTTTGATCCAAATCTACAGAAGCTAATTGAAGGATTTCTAACAGCATCTTATTCAATAAAATATCTTTGAAAATGTCAAAGAAATCACCATGTAAGCCTATTATTTCCTGAAAAAAAAAAGAAAAAGAGAATTGCAAGTCCATATGTAACATATTCCACTATCAAATATTGCAATAGAGTATCTGCGAGTTTCAGGGCAATTTACATGATAGGATGAAGCTGCTGTATATGTGAGTGGAGTGCCACATTGAAGATAATATTGGAGACGAGTATGGATTAGACTTCATTTTATTCATTTTTCCTCTTATACCTGCATACAAACATCAACAAGTAAAGGACACTTAACTGCAAGACAAAATGTTTTTAAATGAAGTAATGTGAATTCTTTTTTTTTTTCACATTTCTCAGTGACTTCACTTAAGCCATATTTTTCTGTTTTACTGAGTTTCCTCTCAGCACACATTTCAACCACCCTTAGTCCACAGACAGTCTAGGTAAGCCTCTGCAACCTCAGAGGCTCTCTCATGTGCTCTTTTATAAAGATACTGCCTGCCTGTGCTTAACTGTTTCACCAGTTCATAAGCAGTTGAAAAACATGGAATATGAGCCAGGCTCATCCCAGGTTCTGAATGGAAAGGCTGATTGCCTTGGTGAGTCAAGTGAGTGCAAGGCACCAGCAAAGAGGCAGGGAGGAGACACCAGGTCAGAAAGCAACGCAAACAGTTCCTGCCACCCAGCGTATGTGCAGCCTGCCATGCTGCACCCACTCACTGCTGGCTTCACATGTGCATCAAGAGGCATTGGGAAAAAAAGAGGAAAACCGATTCCTCATCTCATTCTAACTATGAGGGGTTGCCCAAAGGAAAAGCTGTTTTTACCTACTGAAGTAGCCATATATTTTGTGCACAGCTTTTCTCTCTATAGTGTGTTTTTTCACCTTGCCTTAAATACTAGTACATTTCCTTTGAGCTCTTTGAGCAGAGCCTGAGTGGCTGTGCGCAGCTTTGAACACACATGCGGGGACGTTTCTAGGCTGAGGACCTTTAAAAAGAAACCCTTGTTTCAAAACCCTCTGCCAACAAACCCCCAAATCTCTACAGAAGAGAGCCCACCATAGCAAGACTGCTCCTGTCTTGCTTCTCTTACCACAGCAAAACCCGATGCATAATGAGTGTGTGCACTTGGGCCCCATCTGCATGGAAATGATGGCAACCATGACAGAAGGGGAGCCTCAAGGATGTTCTGCAGTCACTCGTGCTGGCTTTGCACTGGGTGCACAGCTCATGTCCATGTGGGTCTCCCTCATGCTGGATCCTCTCCTGGGAGAGACCAAGATGGACTGGCATTCATACTAAGGTCACCTGTCAGGTCTCAGATGCAATGATTTTGGAGTCCAAACACAGTAGACTCTGTCATCTTGTCACCGTTACTATAGCAACCTTCAGTCCCTACAAACACCAGTGATAATTTTGTATTTAGTAGTGATGTCCCCAGCTGCTTGCTTACTGATGGTAATATTAGTTATATTTATTTATATATTTAAGAAGTAATGATATTTTAAAATAAATAGGTCAAATAAAAGCTATTCTAGGGCTGATATTAAGAAAGCAAGATGTCTCTGTGCAAAGTAGAAATGACAGAGCTGGCATCCGGCTCACTTTTTTCCTTAGGCTCTTGTCTGGCATTATATATGTGCTTGATTTTATTTACTGCAGTACTACTGTACCTCGCCAGACTGCTCACGTGAGTTTAGAGTGCAGGCAAGATATTTGCTAAAGTGTGGGGCCAGATTCCCAGCAGAAGATTGTGTGGAAATGGTGAAGGATTCTTACAACTCCTGTAAAGCAAAGGCAGAGTTAGGCCATGCACATACAGCAAAAATCAGGAGCCTCCCCGCCAAAATTCTCATCACTGTTTACTCTGCACCATTTCTGCAGTAATAACATTTGGCTGCCCTGGTTAATGTTTTCTAGAGGACGCTTTGCTTTCATAATGCTATTTAACAGTATAAATAAGAGGGAGCTGCTGGGTAGTCAGGGTGAAGACTGCAGTATCCTTGGAAGCTGTTGTAAGTAGTGATTTTTTTGTTTCCTATAGAGACTTGAAAAGTGTATCCTTTTGTTGCATGCAATTGATTTCATGTCTTTTCCAGAGCTGTATCTTAAACTGATATCTGTCTTAGCAGTTGTCCCAGGAATAAACAGTTTTGTTTGGCCACCTGGGTAAAAGAACATCACCACCACAACTTAGGCATGGAGTTGCCTGTATGTTGGGTGACTGTCAGGAAAAGTAAAAATCTAGTGGCCAGAGTGAGGTGTCTAGTTGCCCAGAAGAGCAACAAGGTGATATCTGATGCCAACAAACCCCACATACCTAAAAATAAGTCATTCTTGGATGTACCTCCTGGTCATCTCTGCTAGAGAAGATCAGTTGTGCTCCAGCTCAGACCCAGATGATGGTCACTTAAGGCTTTTTTCAATGGGTATAATTTTAAATAATCCACTCATTTTTATAATCAAGGCCTACTGGAAATATATTTGCTTAGGGATTGGGATATGTGAGATCCATTTCTCTTTTAAATAAGACACCCTCTCATTGCTCTAACCACCAGATTACTGGACAACTAAGAGGAAGGAGAGACGTTATCTTGCACAACCTCAGGGAGATCACAATGAATGTGATGCCAGCATGAAATGTTCACAGAGATAGGACAGTGGTCAGAGCTACACTGGAAAGCAGAAACCTGCAGCTCTGCTTTGCCTTTGGAGCTGCTTCTGCTTTACATGGTCTCAACCAACTGCTCTAACCACTGCACTGGCACCGGGGGAGGGTGCACTGCCAGATGAGCACTTCTCACACCAAGCTGTCTTGCAGAAGACACGTGATACTGGCAGCAGCTCTGCTTTTAGCCCTGATTCCTAAGGATACAGTCATGCAATCATGCCATCCATGTGGCTTGTCAGTGTTTGTCTGTCACACACCCTCGTCCTTTCTACCACGATGTTTTGGATTTATTGACTCCATTCAAGCAAATTTTGCTAAAGGTTCACTATTTCAAAGATCCCACGTGCCTAAGAGTTTCACATGATTTGAGAAAAAAGCTTCCTCCATGCATGGAAATACATGTCACCCAGATAGACATATATACACTTCTACAGGACCCTATAACCTTGGCTTTCATATTTCTGCTGCTCAAGGAATTACTTTTAATGAAACAGTCATAGCTGTCAGGATCTTTATTGAACTCAGGGCCCATGGCTTGTGCTTACCATCTTCTCAGGGGACTCAGGCACATCAAAACTCCGACTCACGGGAGAAGTAAAGAAATAAATATCTAGCTAATTAGACTGGAAAAGCCCCTGAGTATGTCCAGGCACATAAAATGAATCACCTGGATTGCTTTAAGGCCAGTAAGGAAAACACGTGTGCAATTATTTATTTATCTATCTATTTATTTATTTATTTTTGGTGTTCCAAAAAGTTCTAACTTGCAGTATTGCTTTCTCAAACACAAACGTAGCAATTCAACCCTGTTATTTTTTTGTTTGTTCGTTTGTTTGTTTGTTTTTTGCTTTGGTATGGCCACGAGTATCTATGACTACCAAGCAAACACTGCTGGTAGCAGTGGGGCATGTCTTGATCTTTCAGTGTGCTCGGAGAGCGCAGCGTTCAGGATATGAAAACCTCTTCAGTTTTCCTCGTTTGGACACAATCGAGAGGGAAGCAGCACCCTCTGGTGAGCGCGTGTACAGACTTGCACATAGCCTCACTCTTTCATGCCTGCATATGGTTTTGAGCAGAGCAATTTCCATGTTGTCTAATGTGAGTTAAAGGTAAGGATCCCTTAAGGCAATATGGAATAAATATTCACCTCCAAACGCTTCAATATTACATCCAAATCTGCAGGCTGAAAACTGCCTTCAGAAGTGTCATTCCAAATGATAAGGATAAAAGCCAAGCCTAAATTTTACAACTTAGCTATATCCGCAAAGAAGCTAATTCTGTCAGACAAAAAATTTAGTCCAGACCCATATCTGTTCATCTGCTGGAATTATTTTAAGGTAACTCCAGCTAATCCAAATTCTCTCTTTCTGGGATATACTGTCATAAGAAAGTACTGTCATTCTGTGCTGTATGGTAGGAAGATGTGGTACATTCAGCGAATGTTATCACCAGATCCATTGCATATAAATTGCTTTAAGCCTAACTATCCTCCAAGTTCTGGCATGTTCTTTTATTGTCTGGTTTGACTGAAAGCTCTTCATGAAAGGGCTCCCTTCTTGAATACCAGAAACATGTTGTCTTGTGTAATTTAGACAAAGAGAGCAAATGAGGCAGAGAGCTGGACTGGCTTCCTTCCAGGCTACTCAGCATGTCAGTGTAGAATTAAAATGCAAGGGCACTTTGCTTCTACTCCTGTGCTTATGGGTAATCGGACATACTGACTCTTAGAAAATGTTCTTATTGAGGTGGTATGAGTAAAGGTCTTAAGATAGGAAACTATCTTCAAAATTAGTCTCTTCAGACAAGGAATTGCTTAAGCACTTTTTAGCATTGCTCTCTGCTATTTGCTTTTTAATAAATTGTTAACTAATGTGTCTGGTGGGAAAATCCCTCAGTCATGAAGACCAGAGGAGAATCTGTATCTGGTGCTGCATGCTGAAGTGGTCTCTGCTGTTAACTTAACACTGTCTGATCTTTTGTTAACCTAACAGTGACAGGAGTATCAAGTAAAACAGTAAATATCAAGTATAAAGCAACAGCTTCTAGTCTTACCCTGAAAGTTTCAAGGATACAAATTCTATTATATTTTATTATAAACTTTATGTTCCAAGCAGAAGTCTAAAAGAGTGACCCACCTGCATCTTCAAGGCTTAAGATCTCTAGGACAACAAAAACAGATCTCTAGAAACTGCAACTGCTGAGTCTTTCATAATCTCAGGATTTTTAAATCAACTATTATCAAGAATTTTGTGAGAGTTGACTCATGAGTTTTGATTAGTGATTGGACAGTACTGAGTAACAGATGGATGATTCAGATTCAGATTGTATTTAATTATCTGTGAATTCAGAGCTATGCTAAAAAGAAATTAATTCTGTGAAAGCACATAAATCAACCACAAAATGCAAACATGTCATAATTACATAGAGCAAAAATACAAAGATAATAAAAAAACTCCAGAAAAACTATATCCAATATTTCAGCTTTTACTGCAAAAACATGCCTTATTCATCAGTTAAAATTTTGAATCCAGGTCGGTTAAATTTCATGTCTACTCTGCATTCCAAATAAATAGAAATTGGCAGTTCTACGTGTAATCGAAAATTCCTTCTATGTGCTGTGTTTTGTTATAAGCATTAAATGTGATGAGATAGGGAACAGATGGTGACTTCTGTTTAAAATGAAATATTTCTTTCTTCAGTGTTCAAGTTATTCTTGATAAATTAGGACTAGAGCTGAGTAAACAGTTCACAGTGAACAATTCATCCAAAGACAGCTTCTGAATCGGCCTGCTGGATACGTGGAAATAGATTAAGCTTAGCTCCGATGATTTTGTTTGGGAGTGGAGCTGATTTCTTTACAAAGTCTGACTAATACATTGGCTCTCTGATAGGTGGTTTTAGATATTCAGAACTGGAGGTCTTATGTTGAGCCACAAGTGGCTAGATATATTGAGAAATATAAATTCAATGTCAGAATCAGAGGAGGACACAAAATTATAATTTGAAACTACTGTATACAGGGACTGAAAATGTAGTTACCAAGAATACTAACAGTTTTTCCACTTGTCAGAAATGGGGCAGCCAAAATGTGAGTAGGCCTGCCTTTTAGAACTACTTAGGTCAGTTACGTGAATGTTTCCTATTTTTGTTGTTCTTATGCAGGTCCAGTTGTAACTGGATATTCAAATTACTAATACAACTTTCTCCCTCTGCTGTTGTGGAAAAGCAAGACCAGGATCATAGTTCTTCCTCATGGCAATCTTTCAAGTTGAATAGTGCCAGAACAGGAAGATATTGATTCAATATAGCCCTTCTTGTACAATTTTTAGCAAATATGAATTGTTATCTCCCAAAGCACTTTACAAATCTCTCACCATTTGTATGACCCAGAAGCAAGGCCCACCGGGACATTCATCTCCACATTACATTTCCAAACTCTCTGCATAAAAGCTTATACACTGTCTGCTCTGCAAACGAATGCAGATACCGCAGCTGAGATCAATAGGGTAGGATAAGAGCATTGCCCTTTGACCGGTAGAGCATCTGATTAAAATAAGACCTTGTTTTTGTTATTGACATCAACCGCTTTTGCAGCATTCAAAATGAACCTGTTCCAGTGGTTTGATTTGTCTACTAAGGAACAACACGCTAAAGGTTCTTAGTGTTACATCATTTGATTTTAAAAATAAAGAGTACCTGTCCTTAGAGAGATAAGGCTTTGTATTTGGTCTGCTACTAAAAAGAAACCAAACCTCTTTTGAAATGAGTGCCTTGTCAGTCTGACCAAAAGTTTATTTAAGCACTTGTCATAAATTCAGTTTGGATCTATCTAGTGATTGCTGCCCCCCTACATGAATTTAGTCTCTCTTTCACTCCTCTCAGAGTGCTCAAACTCTCTTCTATGATGGTCTTTGAGGGAATTATCTTAGATCATTAATGTCAAAAGCATAGTGGTATAGCAGCTCTCCAGTGGTTAAGCAATCTAACAAGTGGTCTATTTTCTGATGGGATGTCCTCTCTGTTCTCTGGCCTGCTGAGGGTGCTGTGTATTCAGCTATTCTACACCGTATTTTACTCCCAAGTGGATGTTTAGTGTGAAGCTTGCAGAGACAGCTGGACTTGCTAGCAGGCCTGGAGAAATACAAAACCCCCTGGCAGGAGCTGTGGAATGCAGAAATGGAGGACAACTAAAAGTTTCACAAAATCTCTTAGTGGGAATGCCGGAGTACATATTGTAACTTGATTTCCTTATCTTGGTAATAGATTCTCCCTTTTTTTTCCAGAGCATTGTAATACAAGAAGATGAAAATCATACTTTACATGTGTTTGCTACTGGTTGGTCTTCATGCTGTGGCTCATGGTCAGCTCACTTCCGAGCACAATAAGCACGATCCAAACAAATACGAGCACCAAACAGATCATGCAGGTGAAGTGATGAGTTGCCTCAAACTAGTACCAAACAATGCTGACTTTGCATTTCAGTTTTTTAAAGAGATTAGCCTGGAGACACCTAATAAGAACATTTTCTTCTCTCCTGTAAGCATCTCCACTGTCTTTGCAATGCTGGCCTTTGTTGCCAAATCAGCCACTCAGACTCAGATCCTGGAAGGACTCACCTTTAACCTTACAGAGATGCATGAGAAGGAAATACACGAAGGCTTCCACCATCTCATCCATATGCTGAGCCATCCTGAGAGTGAGGTCTATCTTGACATGGGCAATACCATATTTCTATCCGAGAAGTTGAAACCATTAAAAAAGTTTTTAGATGATGCCAAAGCTCTGTATGAAATGGATGCCTTGACTGTTGACTTCAAGAATCCTGCAGAGGCTGAGAAGCAAATCAATAATTATGTAGAGAGGAAAACACATGGGAAAATTACCAGTTTGGTCGAAGATATAGATCCACAGACTGTAATGCTTCTGGCAAGCTTCGTTTTCTTTAAAGGTAATTCAAGTCATCCAGTGTTCTCGTTCACATTATTCATCCTTGGAAGTTACTCTGGGGAGAATATCAGATGTTCTTTGTTGGAGTAGAGGCACAAGGCCCAGCTTTCCACCCTTGGCATGCCAGAGCAGCAATTCACCATGGGGCAGAAGAGCAGGCAGGGACCCTCTCAGCCCCAGGAGGCAGCCAGGGCAGAGCTGCTTGGAGAGGCACCCTCCCATGCAGCCTCAGCTTGCTTTTTAGAATTTAGCCATAAGCCTGGTTGCTCCACATTATTTTAATTTTCAGTGCAGACACTGGGATGAATCCATGACCTAATCCTTTTAATGCTCCTCTTTAAAAGAGTGCTTGATTGCATAGTCTAACTTACTATATCCAACATACTCCTTTTTTCCTATTGAAGTCCTTGAAGTGTATACACACTACCATATCTACACATGGAAGATGCTAATGATGGGCATGGAAGTGGATTTTAAGGGAAAAAGTGGAAGCACTGAATTTTTGATGTGGATTAGGTGTGATGTTAACACTAACATAATAAAACTGACATATGAGATTACAGGTTAATTTTATTCTCAGATTGAGGTTTACCATTAAAATCAATAGAAATCAAGTTATATGAGTGTACAATTAATGTCAAGCAAGTCTATAAATGACCTAAGGACAGGCCACTTAGTTCATCTTAATAATGGTAAGAAGTACAGATAAAATGCCTAGCTTTTTCACTACTGAAATCTGAAAAATAAAGTCAAATTGGAACCTAACACATTTTTTGATCAGGTAAGACTCTTACTGTGACACACTTACTTTTAGTAAAGTAAGTAAGTTTGAAAATTTTGAATTTAACAAATGATAGTTAAATAAGTAACAAAAATAGACAAATGTTACTTATATAAAATTACATTTATAATGAGATGGGACATGGGGTGTTCAGTGCATTCTTCTGTCCACCAGGCAAGTGGGAAAAGCCTTTTGAGCTCACTGGAGAAAGAGAGTTCTTTGTGGATGAAGAAACAACTGTGAAAGTCCCTATGATGCACCTAACAGACATATATGACTTCTATTTTGATGCAAAGATTCCTTGCACCATAGTACGGCTTCATTACAATGGGAGTGCTACAGTATTTCTAGCTCTGCCAGAAAAGGGAAAAATGAAGCATCTAGAGCAAGCCCTGGTCAAGGAAACTGTCCATGAATGGTCAAAAAAGCTCTCCAAAAGGTAACCTTCCAACTGCTACGGTGGCATCTAGACATATAGTCTCTCTCTCTCTCTCTTTTTTTTTTTTCCTTCTGGAATGCAAACACTGCTCACTCAGCTGGATTCTGGGAACAGACTGGATTATTTTTGGCTTGTGCACCCTAGCTGTAAAAATCTTGCGACTGGCTGGTATTTGACTATTCTGCAAAGTTTGGAGTGACTTTTTGCTCCTTATGCCAGAGCAGAGACCTTCTTATGGTCTCTGGGGACCACAGAGTAGCAAAGCTGTATTGGGCTTTCTAAAATAGTCCATTGAATGAGTAGGAAGGTGGTAATTTTAAACTAAATCTCCAGTACTGAGGTTTCAGCTGTGTTTTACCTCACATTTGTCACTGACACATCATTAGTCAGACATATGCCTAAACCCTAAAAAAACGTAACTTAAACAGTTTGTAGTATTGCACACATATGTAATATGTCCTAACCAAATATCTTCATTTCAAGGTCAGCAGTACACAGTGGTTACTGGGATAGGCTAGTGATTAATTGTGGATTTCCAGGTTTTCTGACACTTTCTTTTTGAAACTATAAAGGCCTAATGAAGTTCTGATCAGTCTAACCATTGACACCAACATCAACTAACACATTATATGATCTGACTTGTCTGGGAGGAAGGAGATCTTAGCAGCAGTAGACAAATAATGTGAAGTCAATATATGCCTAATTTACCAAGCTTTTCCTTGATTCACAGTAATAAATCTGTTTGGTTCATGTCCGTGATTCTTGATGCATCATTACAGAAATGCTGCTACAGATAATAAAGGCATACTGTGGAGCAAATTAGATAGGAACTAAAAGTGCGATACCTCAAATATGAAAAGTAAGAACATGCAATTCTCAGCTGCAAAATCAGGAAAATCTTAATCTAAATTAATCTTTGGTGCAAATTCAGTTAAGAGCAACACAGAAATAAGAATTCTATGTGAGAGACTGTGAGAACCAAATAGCAATTTCAATTCTAGTGTTACGGTGATGGCAGTGTTAGTAAACTTAGTCCAATTATCTTCTAATGCACGGGGCAGCATTGCATGAAGGCTACAGCAGCAGATTTGGATCCTGTCCACTCCTGCTGTTTAGCCCAAATTATTTCACAGAGAGACAACAGAAGACATGAGTTACCTAACAGCAGGGGACTATTAGACTTCTAGGATCCCCAGACAGTGCATGAAGAGAAATGCAAACAGAAAGCGTACTAAGAAAGAACAGCCTGTGGATAGACGAGAGATAGTGGAAATGCTATGAGCAGCAACTCAGAAGATACAGTTTGATCTCTGGAGCTGGGCAAAACAGACCTGTCAGCTCACTGACATCCAAGTGCTGGTATGGATGAAGGGGCTCATGCAATAGTTGATAAAGTGCAACTGTACTTTGCACTTTATACCCATGGTACTGTCTTCTGCCAGTGCTTCCACATTTGCTAAAGCAAAATGCCAGTAAATATTGCTATTATGATGATAAATAATGTCCATATCTCTATGAGAAGCGCTAGCAATTGGATTAATGCTTACTGTATGTTCAGGACTCGCCTAGGGTTTGGTAGTCATAAGAATTGCACAGTTTCCCCATTATCATTTACCCTGATGAAAGACCTTTCTTACCACTATATGTGCTTTTTCCCTTTAAAACAGGAGAATAAGCCTGTACTTGCCCAAATTTTCTATCTCTGGAAACTATGACATAAAGAATATCCTGAACAAAATGGGAATTATTGATGTGTTCACCAACCAGGCAGATCTGTCTGGCATCACCGGCACCCCAGGGCTGAAGGTTTCTAAGGTACGTCTGTTTTCCCAGGCCCACTCCTGTCCTCTCAGAGACATGCAACATAAACCTGTCTGTGGCAGATGTTCAGAAACACTGGGCAAAACCAGCTTCTGGCTTCACAAACTGCCACTGCTGGGCGCCAGATTCACCCTGGTGCTCTGAAACTGCTGCTGAGAGAAATCCAACTATCAGTGAGTGCTGAGTTCAGGTTAGTTTGCTGTGCATCTTTTCTTCCAAGAATGTTACCAGCCAAGGTCCTGTAGGACAAGAGGAAAAGCAACCAAGAGAGTGAGAAGAGTAGCAAGTAGAAAGAGAGAATCTCAAGAGTATAAGATGAGATCTGGAAAAAAGAGAATCTTTTTCTTTTCCTAACCTGTTTTAGCATTCTTGGAAAAAACAGAGAGCATCATTTTTAGTGGCAGCTTATTAGTATTTGCCCAAATACCATCATCTCTTTTCTTTGTCTTCAGGTGACTTCTTTCCTCAGATGCAAGAGGACTTTTAACACAGTGTAAAATGCATGTTGTTCTTCTCTACTTATTGTCTCAGACAGCATGACTAACCCTCAAACCTTTCAAAAGCATTTTGACACCTTACAATACAGGGTGGGTTTCACCAATGATCTCTTTCAAGCCGAGCCTCTGTCCTCCATCCAATCCCTGGGACACAAGGCAAACATCTGGAACTTTTTTGCTGAGGAGATTTGGGTAGATCCATCTGGGTTGTCATTTGAGGCAGCAGCACCTGCAAACAACAAAGCTCACCTTTCTCCTCTGCCCCTACCCATTCCTCTGCAGTAGATCCCTTAAAGCAGGGCTGTTTTAAAAGCAATTTGGCTCATCTCTCAGGTGCCTGTTCTGTGTCCACTACTACTGAACTACTGTGAATGTTTTCTTTCTTCCCAGGTTGTCCATAAGACTGCGCTGGATGTTGACGAGACAGGTACTGAGGCAGCAGCAGTAAGCTTTGCTAGAATAATGGCCATTTCTTTTCCTCAACACATTGAATTCATCCGTCCCTTCCTCATGCTGATTTTTGATAGAGCTACAAACAGCACCCTCTTCATAGGAAAAATAGTTAACCCTGCTTTACATTAAGTGAAGTTGTGTATGAATTCTGATTAAAGAAAATGTGAAAATGCTAATGTAAATTATTTCTATTTGTATCAGTTTAATGTGAAGCTTTTCTTTACCAAACTTTGCATTCCATGCTATCAAACAAAGTTGATATTGACCATGACACCAGCTTAAGATGAAACAGAAAATTGGTTCAACAATGCAGGGACATAGAAGACTGAAGCTTCTAAAAGAGTCAGCAAGGAAAATGTGAAAAATTGAGAGACAGAGATCTCTTTTCTTCACAAGAAATATTCTGTCATTTTTAGCATTAGTTCTAGCAGCAAATCTGCCTGAAAGTTTCTTTAAGCTCAAAGCAGAGATGGAAAATTGAATCTGCTCAACCTGAAAACTTTCAACCAAATATTGCCTATTAGACATCCTTAGATAGCCTGTGTGAGTAATTGGCTTCTCACACGTAGAGCCATCACTGGTCAGAAGGAGAATGAGCTGGCGAGGTATTACTGATGGCTGTTATACAAGTACTGAACTACTGTGAGCTGAAAATTTTGGAAAATATGGAATAATAGTCTAGCAAACTGTAGGTGTTTCAAGTGCCATCCTTGTACAGTCACTGAGGGTTAGTAGGGAGCATCCTGAAGCCAGGTTGCCTCTCCAGCACATGGTGGAAGGCACCTGGGTGAAGTTCAGGGCAGCACAAGGGCTGGCTAGTAATTTTTTCCAACAGACCTGCCTTAGCAGCAGTACCGTTGCCCTTTCTCCCCCGCAGCAATGCTTTTTGGAAGAAGATGAAACAGTATCAACACACCTATCCCATCCTGAATCTCAGAGTGGAGAGTAAAGGTCCCACAGCCTCACTGTGTGCCCTCCGTGAGGAGCAACTGTGGTTTCGGCAGTCTGGGACATGTGCAAGAGAGAGTGGAGAACTGTCTCCCCTTTCACAGTCCAAACGAAAACAACAAACTGGTCTCAAAGCTCCCTTTCTACTCTGTCTTCCCTGTAAAAACCTCATGTTAAATCTCACACTCACTGGTTGACAGCATTTTTTCACGTAAACACACAAAATTTCTGGATAGTTACGTGTGTGAACAGCTCTATTTGGGACTCCTGCCATCAGCATGTACAAGAGATGCACATGTGCTACATTATCTTCCTGGCTCCTTCATTCACTCGCACCCCTCTGTTTGGATGGTGCTGTGAGATTTCTAACACACGCACAGCCTAATTCATAGGGCACCCTATCAGACAGTGCCACTTTCTTCCTTCCCGAAAGTGGGCAGCGCAGTGAAGCATTGATACATGGTCGGTCCTACTAACCGTCATCAATCCTATTGTTAACCATGGTCAGAGAATGGGCTTTCAGAAAAACAACAATAAAAACTGTGACAAGAGAGGCCAGTGAGGTGAGATCCTTAGCTGTGTATTTTGTGAATTCCCTGGAGTTGCACCAATTTGCACTAGCTGCAAAACTGATCTATTTGATTTCAGTGGAGTGACTCAAAACTTATATCAAGAAATGCAGAAGAAACAGAGGTTCCAGATGCATGGTTATCTGTAGCAGATACAAGAGTAAATATTGTTCCCTCCCTTGTAAACCATTTTGCAATAGATGGAGACACACATATATATAAATATTGCACAGCAGAAGGAAGACAGCACCCATGTGGTTTCTGGGAGAGATTTGAAGATCAAGAGATTCCCTCATAGCAGCTAAATCAGCTTTTACGGAACAGAAAACCACATTTTGGGATGGAAGCTCCTTTTTTCCTGCCCTCAGTATCCTGGTGCTTTCATAAACACACGCACCATTCAAAAGCAGGATGTGGGAATTCCATTTTTTCTCAAGTATTGTGGGAGAACGATCCCACAACACAGTCTGATGGAAATACAGGGGAGAACTGGAGCTCAGCAACATGTGCTGTCACAGGTGAGTCCCTCAGTAATCTCTTAGGCTACATCTCCTGTATGATCTTGTGTACAAGGAAAGGGTTGGAGGGGTTGCAGGGACAGCAGGAGACGTGATACCTGCCCACTGGCCCTGGGAAGACAGAGCCATGGAAAAGAAGAGTGCCTGCCATCCCCACAGGGGATTTCCTGCCAGTGTCAAGATCAGCATTCAGGAGCTGTCTGCCAGATTTGCTTCATCAGGCAACAGCTCTCAGTTAGCGACATCTTGCTGTGATTTTCCACTGCAGAATTTGCCAGAGACGGTGTTGAAGTAGAGGCAGGCACTACACTTAGCACAAAAGAGCAACAGACAGTTTTCTCCCCACCTACGTCCATGCTGTGCTCTGCTGTTTGTTATATGGCCTATTCTTATCCCTCTCCTCCATGAACCCTAAGTCCTACTCCTCTAGCCTTGCTCTTGTTGCAGCTCAGAAAACCACAGATTTTCCTTATTAAGCCTGCTCTATGCATTTCCTCTCTGCACCAGATCCTTTTCGCAGCTTCCCACTCTCCCTCCTGCATGCAAATATTTCATCCCTCCCGCTTGCTCCTTGCTGTTTGTGTGGGAGGGGGACGCTGCCAGCTCCACCGCGGCACCTTCTTGTCCTCCCGCTGCACCAGGCACCTTGCCCAACAGGACAGACAGACGGACTTGTACCCTTCAGGCAGGTGTAATCCAGTAACTCTCGCTCAGTCAACATGCACAGGAGGAGGAGGGTCAGCCCTAAGCTCAGCAAAGATGCTGTTGCCGTTGCTTGTAGCACTACCTGCTTTGTGTTAAGCTCACAACGCAGACCTCGGGTCTCAGGACCTGCCAGGTTTGGCATGGACCTGTCTTGACCTGCCTGGGACTTTGTTTTAGTTTGTTTAGTGGTAACAGTAATTCCTCTACCATCAGGTGACTATTACCTAATTTGTTTAAAATTTATTTTAGCTTTATATAAGTGTATGGTATAACACTTATGTATTGTTATATATGTGTGCTTCTGTGACTAATAGGTATTAATAAAGAGTAGTTATTTTACGCAGAATGATCCATTTAATGTTCTAGAATAGAAAAACAAAGGAGTTAGTTAATACATGGCAAGGCAGCTTGCTATACCTTCCCTGTTGTCAAAAACCTTTGATCTGAGGACCCACCAGGGCAGTGGCATAATGCCAGAGAAAATTTTGTTTATAGTAATTTTAACTGTGCATAATTTGAACTGTAAGTCTTGGTAATGCAATCAGATTAATAATAATTTTTGAATAAGACTGTTAATATTCTAAAAATGCTAATGGCAAATATTCATCTTTTTATATATGATAATTATCCTTTTTTTTTCTCTGTAACATGATTTTGAGTGTAAGAAAGTGGTGGGAATTAAAGCAACCTGCATGCAACAAAAGGGGAACTTCAGCAAGCTAGTCCCCAACATGCCTGAGTATAGCCAAAGGGCAGAGCAGCTTCATGTCTTTCTTGCTTCCTATATGCAGTATGAAAATATTCATTACACAGGGTAATTTCTGAAATGAGCAGATTTGGAGCAGAAATACTGCTAGAGCCTTGATCTTTCAAGAGAGGGTGCTGGCACAAAATGCAATGCTGTGATCCACAGAACACAAATATGACTAAAATTTCCCTTTCTCTCAATCATCTATAATTACCACAGGATGAGTAGAAACATAGGGACACTGAGCAAGGCCCCAAGACTGCAGAAATTTGGAACTCTCAGCACAAAGACACTCAAGGACACCAGTGTCCACTAACCCACATTGTCTGTGGTCTGCCATAAGTTTTGATGAAAGAAGTTTCTATTTCCAGCAGCCCCCTCACCTACATAGAGTCAGAAGGGCAGAAACACCACAGTGAAGTACTAGTGACAGCAAACTTGCATAACTGGTCTCTCTGGCAAAAAGGAAAGGTAGTGGAGGAAGTACTCCAGGGCACACTGGTGCTGAAATTCCACTTCTGGCAGTGAACAGGGGGAGATGGACACCCATGGGCCATTAGGGGACAAAAGGAAAGTGCTGGAGGGAGTTGAGCTAGGATAGATCCCTGTCTGGCAGCGAAACATCCATTGCCCTAGGAGGACATTTGCCAAGCCTGTCCTCCTGTGAAGCCCATTTGTGTGCCAGCCAGTAGGATTCCCAGCTCTTCTCCATCGTTCCGTGGAAAATCAGGATGGGGTCAGTCACATCACAGAGAGATAAGACTGGGATGGCTATGGGGAGGAGAACCGCCTGTGAATACAGCTCCCTGCGCAGGTGCAGGGCAGCACGAGCTAGGAATGAGCCCAGGGAGGAGAGAGGACAGGAAGGGCATTTGCACCGAGACATTCCCAGGTGACAAGTTGGGCGACTCCTCTCTATTTTGTTAAGGTGGCCAGAGAAAGCCTGTACGAATGACATTTTTGAAATACTTTGTCAGTTTTGAAACTGAGGAAGGCTATGCAAAACATTTCTTATGACTTCTTTTCCTTTGCCTTCTTATCTTACCTAATACACTGATACTCTGTTATTCAGTCACTAGATATTTAGCAACTTGACCAAAAGTACCTATTTTTCTTTGCTGAATAGCCATAATAAATAATATTTCATCATTGTTTATTCTGTTTTATCTTTGGTAACTGAGCCAGTCAGCGACAAATCAGTCGCAATGTATCAGCATGCTGCTGTTCACTGAGGTGGGAAGATATCTCACCAGGACTAAATGAAATCACAGCTGAATATTCTAGTAGATTGTTTTCTTCATGGTTACATGGGAAAAAATATTTTAAAATAAATGTTTCTAATGTAAAATGACTACAGCTACACAGAATGATGTGATAAAACCTTTATATGCTAACTCACTTGTGTCCAAATTAATAGAGTTAAGTCTAGCTTCTAACTAGAACTGAAGTCAAAAAATATACTAGGTTTACCAATTAAGTTTAAAAGGTCGTGTTTAGGCACTGATGGCAAAGAGCAGTTTAAAGGACAGCTTGTTGTAGGCTTGAATGTGGCTGTGTGAGTTATTTGTTCTGAGCGCTTAATATGAGATTTTGGTTGTTTTTGTGACCGTTCTTCAACTGTCAGAAAAATATGGATTTGAAGTACTTCTTTTTTTTTCAG